ACCAAACCAGACAGTTATAGAGGTGCAGATGACAGACTCAGTAATTCCTCTGTAGAACTGGATCAGCAGCTCCTTGGGCAGTTTGTAGTTCCTTGATTGGGGTATTGTTTGCCAGGAACTGATAACTACCAACTCAGACATTAATCAGACCACAAAGGTGACCTACAACAGCCCAGGGACCATCAAGAACACTCCCACCAATATTGTCACAGCAAGCCACGTTGTTCTCCCAACCCATTTCAGGAGCACCTCATTTGTGAGGTGACAAGGACTTCGTAAATGGTCCTTTCCTGAGGTCAGAAAGGATTGGGGACCGCTTGCCCTCGAGAATCGCCCCATCTCACGCAACTTCAAATGATCTGTCCTTGAAGTTTCCCAAGGTTTTAACATTCTTCTGCAGGAATTTAAAGTTGTAATCGTTGATTCAAATTTAAGTTGGCTCCTGGTTTTGGTTGGAGCGGCCGTCAGATGCTCTGGTATCTGGTGAGCTTTGGGTTGTTGACCTCTCAGCCTCTCAGGGATGGTCCTGGCCGTTTCCTGAAACCTCTCTGAGATGGAAGCCATTCCTGGGAAGGTAGAATATGTCCCTGGAGCTTCTGGAGTCTTGACATCACCAGCTGGGTTCTCCATCTTTCTGTAGGCTCCTATCGAAGATCTTAAAGGAATGTGAAGATGCAGATGAGATAGAGTACTTGGTGGATGGCTCCTGGCGTCCGATCAAAGCAGAGAAGGAGAGGAGCTACAGCCCTCAGTGTCCGATACTCGTTGTGGGCGGATCCACAGGTGGGTCTACAAAGCGATGGCGGTTGTGGACTCTACACAAACCGGGGAGGCCAAAGGACCACCCAAGTCATCTCCCCTAGTTGATTCCAACTTGTGTGGTCTTGTCCAAATCTAAGTCCTCCTTGTACCATGGACATTTATTCCCACCATCTTAACAATTGGTGGGCACTCCATCACTGGAGGTTTCCCAAGAAGGGATTGGACAGTCCCTTGTCTGAAATGGTAGAGGGTCTTCTGCTTGAGCAGGAGGCTAGACTAGAAGACCTCTAAGGTCCCTTCCAACTCTTGTTATTCTGCCTGCGGAAGAAGTGGAGGATGACTGGATGACTGGGTGGATTGATATGTAACTGGATGGATGGATGGATGGATGGATGGAAAGATGGATGGATGGGTGAATGACTGGATGGATGGATAAATAACTGGATGAAAAGATGGATGGATGGGTGGATGGATAAATAATTGGATGAAAAGATGGGTGGATAGATGGATGGATGGATGGATGGATGGATGGGTAACTGGATAGATACATGGATGGAGGGATGAATGATTGGATGGGTGGATGGACATTTGGATGGATGACTTCTGTTGTCCTTCAAGGTGAGATGGGGAAGAGATTTAAGAGTTCTTGATCGTGGTTGTGGTTGGGAGAACATCACAGAGAAATGGGAGTGAGATGGCTTAAGATTGTGGTGGGCCCAGAGCTTTACCTTTGGTTGTTACTGTCTTCCTTAACTTCTGGGATTTCAACTCCCAGAATTCCCCAGTCAGCCATGGTTTTCTGATGGGTGGACTTCAACTCCCAGAATTCCCTAGCCAGCCTGTCTGAAAGTGGCCAAGGTTGAGAAACACTGGCAGAGGCAATCCTTGAATTATGGCCACAATTGAGCCCAAGATTACTGTCGCTAAGTGAGACATTTGTTAAAGTGAATTTGGCCCCGTTTTACGATCTTGCTCGCCCCAGTGGTTAAGTGAGTCACTGCAGTGATGAAGTTAGTAACACAGTGGTTAAGTGAATCTGGCTTCCCCTACTGACTTGGCTTGTCAGAAGGTCGCAAAAGGGGATCACGTCACCCCCGGGACAGCGGAACCGTCACAAATAGGAGTCGGTTGCCATAGGTCTGAATTTCGATCCTGGGATCATGGATACGCCACAGCGGTCGTATGTGTGAAAAACAGTCCTGGGTCCCTTTTTTGTCAGTGCCGTTGTAACTTTGAAACACTCACTAAACGAACGGTTGTTAAGCCAAGGTTGTGATGACCCGGGGCGTGGCCCAAAAATAACCAAGTCACAAAAGTAGAATAAATTCCCTTTAATGCCTCCAACTTGGCCCCCAAGGTCCAGTTATCCTCGGCTGGAGGTCATACTCTTCCAAAAATAGTCTACGAAGGGAAGAAATGCAGTCCGAACTCAAAGTAAAGATAATTAGAAATAAAAAACCAACACAAACAACACTGAAGTAATTAACACGGCAGGCCAGGATGATAAATTGCAGACTTTCAAAGGATAACGCAGCACCCACAGTTGGGAGGACGCCAAAACCCAGATAAGCCTCGACAAAGATAATGCATGCTTTGCTTCCAGCAAGGAACCGTGTGCAAACCCTTCTTATAACCTGTTCTCCCAGCTGCAACTAATGAAAGGGATCAGGGCCCTTTTCTCTCCCGTAAGCCATGTTGCTCCCTTTCTCTGTTCCTTCCTGCGTGCCCTAGGATGAAGGGGGTTGGCCCTGGGTCTTCCTCTGAATGCCCAGGAGCCACACTCCCACTCCCTGTCAGTTGCTCAATCTCCCCCTCAGAATTGGACTCCAACAAGGGCATGACAAAAATATACATGTTTTTTTTTTTTTTCCTTGCACATTCCCAGGGGGCACATCGGATGTCAACGGGGCGCCCCCTCCCGCCCCCAGTGTGGAGAACGGTAAGATTCCGGCTGACGTGGTCGACTTGACACTGGACAGCTCGTCCTCAGAAGAGGAGGAAGAAGAGGAGGAGGAAGATGACAACGGTGGCGGACCCAAGAGGAAAGTCCCCCGCCTGTATAAGAACGGTCTCGCCTCCGCCTGCTGACTGCCGGCGGCACCGGGTCACCTCCACGTGGGAAAGCTTGAATTCCTCGGTGCTTACTCAGATAAATGGGGCGGGGCGGGGTATCTTATCCCGCCTCCCCCCACTCACCCAACCTTTTACCTTGTCCTCCTCCAAAGCATCCTTGGACTTCCCGATTATTCCAAGTTTAAAAAAAAAAAAGAAATGACTTCGTTTTTAATCGGAAACAAAACAGACCCATCTGGATGAGCGCTGATGCATGGCTGAAAGACATCCCCCCCTTGACCACCATCACCTCGCAACCTAACGCCTCTTCGTCTCTCCGCCTTCGGCTCAGCTTTTGAACCGCCATTGGACGGTGATTGGGGTTGGGAGGGGGGTTTGGGGTGGGCGCGCCTGTCCTGCACGCAATTCTTTGGGAATGGCCACCGACTCTCTCTCTCTCTCTCTCTCTCTCTCTCTCCCCAAGCGTTCGTTGTCGTCCTCTTCCCCAACCCTCCTTTGCTTTCTGGTTAAACCTGGCTGGTGGGAACTGATTCCGCTTACCGGCCAGTTTCCAGGACTTTTCACGGGTGTCCACGTTTATGTCTTCTTCGGGTTTTTTTCTTCTTCTTTGTGTTCCATCAGCCTTGTTCGACAACCATTCCTCACTTTCTCTCTCTCTCTCTCTTTCTTTGTGATCTCTCTCTTTCCCCCTCTCCAAAAACCCCACCCCACCGGACCGTTTGGAGGGCTGTTGCTTTTTCTCGTCCTTAAAATCAGCGGGAAAAGTTTCTAAAACCCAGCGAGATACCCAGGTTTTTATGACACTAGGGATGGAAGGTAACGGGGCGGGCGGGGAACTGAAAGGAGACAGAAAGAGGGGAAGGGGAGAGAAAAACCCGCCACGGATATTTCCGCATCGAATCGTTCTTGGCGAGTCTCCCTTTTTCCTCCCCGGAGAAAACCTCATGTAACGGAGGGGGGAAATAACCAACTGGAACGCGGGTTGTTGTTTTTTTTTAGCCTCTTAATGAAAATATGGTAGAATTCTAGCATAGCGACGGAGCAGCTGTTTATTTTAAGTTGAACAGAAGCCATTTGGGGAGGGGGAGGGGGTTTGGAAAAGTCAGAAGAAGAGACTGAGAAACCAGGTTGCAGGGAAGGGGAACACGGGTCTCGCCGAACGAGGGAAGGGGCTCGAACCACGAATCTGTTCTCGTCATCTTTTGTTTTTCTTTTCTTTCTTTCTTTTTTTTCTTTTGAAGTGCAATAACTCAGTGTGTTTTGGAAGACGGTTATTAAAAAAAAAGGAGGGGAGGAGGACGGGCCCATCCTCCCGTTGGCCGGGCTACGGCGAGATGGTCTCGTTGGCCTTCTCGGGGGGTGAGGACGGATGAGCGAGGAGGGGGGGGCTTCTGGATAAAAAATGCCAGGTGGAGGAACTCTCTCACTCTCTCTCTCTCTCTCTCTCTCTGTCTCTCTCTCTCTCTCTCTCTCTCTTTTGTTTTGTTTTGGTTTCTAGCCAACTACCTCGGTTTAAAAAAAAAAAAAAGAAAAGAAAAGAAAAATAGAAATAAAAAAAATTCAGGTGTAGGTCAGTCACGGACAAAAAAAAAAATACAAACGGCAAAACGTACGGTGTGGAGCCGATGCTGGGGTGACTTGGGGGGCGGGGGAGAAACACGGCATGTCGGTGAGTGTCTTTTGTTAAAAAAAATTGCCTCTGGACTTCCAGCTGTTTTGATACTCGCGCGCGGCGGTGGGATTCAACCGGCGTAACAACCGGTTCGCGCGAACCGGTGCGTACCGGCTGAATCCCATTCTTGCCTGCGTGTCTCGTCCTTCTTGTCTCTGTCTCTTCCCCCTTGTCTGTGTTTGTGCACCTTTTAGAGCCGCCCCTTCCCCTTCTCCACCTGGTCTGGTGACACCTTCCCTCGCTCCCCTCTAACTTTCCCTTCGGATCGTAATGGTGGCGAGGGAGGCGGGAGCCTCACCCGTTGAACCTCTTCCTCCTCCTCCAGCGAAGGGTATCCCCATCGGCTCCTCTAGGGTGATACGTATCCCCAGGGCGATACGGGGCCAAACCGAAGGACGCGGAGGATGGACAGAGCTTGTCCCCTTTTGCAAAACTCAACCTGGGCAACGATTTGGATCTGGCTCCCTTTTTCATTTCTTTCTTTTGAGGGTGGGGTCCGATATTACAGGACGTCACGCTTGTCTCCCTCCCTCTCTCTCTGTCTCTGTCTCCTGTCCAGCTGCAATATAGGTTCTGGAATGGGCCTTTGTTTTTAATTCGGTGTTCAGTCATCTTCCCCGTTTCCTTGGGTGTTGGTGGGGGGGGCTGTCTCCTTTTACACACACACACACACACACGGAAAGGGGTGTATTGTCTCCCTTGGTTTTAACCCGCCCTTGAGATGCATTTCGGTAGGAGAAATGCATCTGGGTTTTGTTTTTTGTTTTTAAAGCATGCTGTAAAGAGTGGAGGATGAAGAAGAGACATCCTGCAAGGCCTGCTGGTTTGCTGACAAATTTTACTCCTTGCCTTGAGCTATCTCCCACCCACACCCCAGGAATACGGAGTTAAGCCCCCTGAGGAAATTTTAAAAGAGCCCCTGGGATATGCAGTACCAAGCCTAAAGACCCTTCCTTCCTTTCCTTCCTTCCTTCCTTCCTTCCCTCCCTCTTTTGGTCTCTCTTCCTCCCTCTTTTTATCTCCTTCCCTTCTTTTCCCTCCCTCCCTATCTCTCTCTTCCTCTTTTTGTCTCCTTCCATTCTTTTCCTTCCTTCCCCTCCCTCCCTTCCTATCTCTTTCTCTCCCCCTCTTTTTTTTGTCTCCTTCCATTCTTTCCCTTCCTTCCTTCCTTCCTTCCCAAAGTCCAGTTGAGGAAAGACTGATGAAGGAAAGAAAAACAAAGCACCGGTCCTTCCTCGGACTTTCCAATCCCTTTCCGTTGTTCCGTTGTCCTCCCTTCCCCGGCTCCCACCGGCTAACATTTTTAACAGTCAAAACATCTCAAAAGTTAAGCAATATGTTTGCTCTGTTTTAAAACGCATCCACAACACTGTCGTTCCGGCCCAGGAGGAAAAAAAAAAAAGGCCTGAACTGAATTTTTCCTTGTATAGATTGCTTCTACAGCCACCAAGTAGAACATAGGACTTTCCTTCTCTCGGTGTTTGTATTTTTAATTTAATTGCGCGTTAAAACTTCTTCCTTTGGATTTCTCCTTCTGAGCTCTGCTGAGAACTTTTTCCCCTCCCTTTTTTTGTTTTATTTCTCTCCCTCTCTCCCCCTCTCTCCTCCCCCCCCTCACCTTAGCTCAGCAAAGCTTTTCCAGTCTGTACATATGTTGTTGATTGTTTTAATTTTTTAAAAAATTTAACTCCTCTTCCTTCAGCGTCTTCTTGTTCTTCCCTCCCTCCTGTTTTTTTCATTTGTAAAGCAAAAAAAGTTCTTTCTTTCTTTCTTTCTTTCTTTCTTTCTTTCTTTCTTTCTTTCTTTCTTTCTTTCTTTCTTTCTTTCTTCTTTCTTTCTTTCTTTCTTTCTCTTTCAACACACATTCTTCAGAACTCAAGACAATAGTGTTTGTTAAATAAATAAAAGGAAATATTTCAATTTAGCTTCTTATTTTCTCTGGTGTTGCCAATACAAGGGTCGGTTTGGGTCGGTTTGGCAAGATTCGAGCATCAACGGGGGTTCTGGTTTCTGGAGCTAGGTGGTTCTGGAGACCCTGGAGGTGGATCCCTCCTCGTTGTGTAACTCAGGGGCACACTGCTCTCGAAAATGAAGGCTCCACAGGTAGTCCTCGTCTTACGACCACAGTAGAGCCTAAAATTTCCTTTGCTCAGCAAGACACTTGTTAAGTGTAACTTTGCCCCATTGTACGAGGTGTTTTTTTGCTGATGTCATTAAGCAAATCTGGCTTCCCCGTTGACTTTGCTTGTCAGAAGGTCCACCCAAAAATGATCACATGACTCTGGGAGACTGCGATCGTCATAAATACGAGTCAGTTGCCAAGAGTCTGGATTTTGAAGTGTCTGAATTTTGATCATGTGGCCACGGGGATGTTGCAACGGTCGTAAGTGTGAAAAAAGGTCATAAGTCGCTTCTTTCAGAGCTGTCATAGGCTTGACCAAAATCTCGAAGCAGACTCCTCGTCCTGACACAACTCCTTTTTAAATAGCTAATGTGAATTCTTCTCATTCACATCCAGCAAAGACCCGGCAAACAGTCTTTCAAGAGTGTTTTAGAACCACAGACCTTTAGCATGCTTGGAGAGTTGCCAGGCTGATAGCTTCCAAGCACAAGGAACAAATCTTCACACTAATTAAACGAACTAATTGTCTCCTACAAACACCACTCCCCTTTCATTCCTCTTTATTCCCTTTGGGAGGGGCCATTCACCATCCAACTGTGCCTTTACTCCTTGTTCAGGGGTGAGGTTCAACCGATGTTACTACCAGTTCGGTGATTCCATTTTGCTATTTCAACCTCAGGTGTGCCGCACAAAGCAGCCGAGGTTGAAAAAGCAGGAAATAAAGGAGAGGTAAGAGCCCGGGCAGGTGGGTGGGCCAAACAGCAGCAGACACAGAACCGGTTCGGTTGCTGCTCTTCAGAGCTACCGGTTCTATAGAGCTGGGCAGAACTGGTAGCATTCCACCCCTGCCCTTGTTCCTTAATTGTTCCCTTCTCCTGACAGCTCTGTGCATGTGCACACTGGGAACAGGCTCCAGCTGTTCTTCTGCCTCACTAATGTCTGACTCCAAAGGCAGCTGATAACTGTCAGACGGCCCTGGACCCATCTCTGCCTCTGATGCAGAGCACTTCCCCAGACTCCAGGACTGGCCCATGTTCCTCCCCAACCTCCTCACTGTCTGCTGCCAGCTCTGTTGGCTGCTGGTGGGGCCACAACAAACGGTCACTAAATGGACCACTGTAAGTTGAGGACCTGTGCTGGACTTTTTGATTCGTGTCAGAAGCATCACAATTAAAATAAGGCATACGATAGGACATAACATTTAAAATATAAAACACAAGATTAAAATACAGGTAGTTCTTGACGTGGAACAGTTGAGTGACAGATCACAGTTACGACGGCATGTCCTTCTGACGAACAAAGTCAATGGGGAAAGCAGATTCACTTAACAACCGGCTTAGTAACTTATCAATTGCCGTGATTCCCTTAACCACCGCGGCCAGAAAAGTCGTAAAATGGGGCAAAACTCACTTAACAAATGTCTTGCTTAACAGCGGTAATGCTGGGGTCCATCGTGGTGGTAACTCAAGGACTACTTATATGTGCAAATTAAACAGATCTTGTACAGAAACTTTATTATTATTACCTTTATTGTCAGAGTACAACATGTGTACAATGAGATTGGCTGAGCCTTCCTTCGTGCCCCCCGTAACACAACTCACAGTGAGGATAGAAGTCCCTAACCCAATCTTATTACACCATGTGATCTTGTTGCACAACGCACCAGCCCCGCAGGTCTATCGTACTATGTTGACATAAAGTTATTTTCCGTTCAGAAGTCTTCCAATATTTGAGGAGGGGCTGCCCCAGAGAGGAGGGATGGGGTCAAGCTATTTTCTAAAGCACCTGAAGGCCAGACAAGGAATAATGGATGGAAACTGACCAAGGAGAGAGATTCAACCTGGAAATAAGGAGAAACTTTCTGACAGGGAGAACAATCCACCCATGGGACAGTTTTGCCCTCGGAAGTTGTGGGAGCGCCATCACTTGAGACTTTCAAGAAGCGGAACGATCAGTTATAAACACGAGCCAGGCCGTGTGCTGCAGCTGCCCCCAAAAGCCAATGCAATCCTAGGCTCTATTAACAAGAGGGATAACACATCAAGATCAAGTGAAGTGTTAATACCACTTTATAAGGCCTTGGTAAGGCCACACTTGGAATACTGCGTCCGGTTTTGGTTGCCACGATGTAAAAAAGACGTTGAGGTTCTCGAAAGAGTGCAGAGAAGAGCAACCAAGAGGATTAAGGGACTGGAGGGTAAAACATACAGAGCGGTTGCCGGAACTGGGTACGTCTAGTTTGATGAAAAGAAGGGTTGGGGTGACATGATAGCAAGTCTTCCAATATTTAATTAAGGGGCTGCCCTAAAGAAGAGGGAGTCAAAGCTATTCTCCAAAGCACCTGAAGGCAGGACAAGAAGCAACAGATGGAAACTCATTGAGTAGAGAAGCAACTTAGAACTAAGGAGAAATTTCCCAACAGTGATAACAATTAACCAGTGTAACAACTTGCCTCCGGAAGTTGTAAATGCTCCAACACTGGGAGGTTTTTAAGAAGAGATTGCACAACCATTTGTCTGACATTTTATTTTTATTTTATTTGTTGGACATGTACAAGACAACAAGTGTAAGTATGAACATAAACAAGAACAAAGGGAGTAACAGATAAACGGGGACAGCAAGACAGGAACGGTAGCCACGCTGGTGCATTATGCACGCCCTTTTTAAGGACCTCTTAGGAATGGGGTGAAGTCAATGGTAAGACAGTTTGAGATTGAAGCTGTGAGAGACATGGTATATAGGGTTTCCTGCCTGAGCAGGGTGGGTTGGCCTAGAAAACCTCCAAGGTCCCTTCTGACTCTGTTATGTTATATATTGATACCAGATTCAGCAGGTGTATTGACCTGCCGAGTAGCAAAGAGCTGGAGCTGCTCGGCAGCCGGGATAGGCTCATTAATTTCCCAAGGATATTATAGATTTGACTATCTACTACTAGTAGTATTGCAGGGGAACAAAAGCAGTCTGAATTTGCAGCAGCGGCGCCTTCCACCAAGAAAGGATGGCGCAAGAAAGATTGGCTGCTCCTTTCCCCCCCCATATGGAAACCCAACCAGCTTTTGCCAAAGAGCTTATAAAAATTCAAGGAAAAAAGAGAGGGTTTTTAAAATTTTATTTTAAAGGAACGAACCGAGAAGGAAGGGAACAAACATCTAGCCACCCTACGGATTTAGGGGGAAAAGAGGGAAAAGGTGAGTTGAAGCTTACAAAGAGCCCGGAGCCCCTCAATTCCTCCCAAAGCTGAGAGACAAAAGGAATGGATGTTTTTTTTGGAGATTCCCAGTCATTCGGGTGCTTTCTTTTTTTTTTCAGGAGGCAGCTGGACTTTGTTGGGTTTCCCCCCCTCTTTGAAGATGTTTCGCTTCTCATTCAGGAAGCTTCTTCAGCTCTGACAGGATTATCTTGTCCTTCCATTCCCCAGGATCCTGTGAAATCCTTCCACATTTCTTAGGGCAGGGCTCTCCAAACTTGGCAACTTTTTAAGTTTTGTGGACTTCCAACTCCCAGAATTTCCCAGCCGGCCATGCTTTGTGGACTTCAACCATGCTGGCTGGGGAATTCTGGGAGTTGAAGTTCGCAAGTCTTAAAAAGTTGCCAAGATTGGGAGATCCCTGTCTTAGGGTGTATCCGAGCCCTATTGCTGTGCTGCCTGAAAAGTACTGAGCGCTGAAGTCCGCTCAACTTAAAGATGCCTGAAAAAAATAACCGATTTGAAACTAATACATTGAATGTTATTGAGTTTAAATTGAATTTTCTGGGAGGGCTCCTATGGATGGGTCCACATTTTTTTAAAAATATCCGCCTTTAATAATATATTATTATATATTATTATATATGTATATTCCAAACAGTATCACGCACACGCAAATTAACCGCAGCCCATTCGGGCGTCAGCCACGTGGTTGAATCCCCAACAGGCGCTTCCGGTTTGATCGAAACTGCGCAGGCGTTAAGCGAAGATCCTCCCGTCCCTCCCCTTTCCTTTCTTCCTTCCTTTCTCGCCTTCGGACCATAGAGAGGGCCTTGAGGACGAGGCGCGTGCGTTCCGGGTGTCCTCACTCGGCCCCGCCTCCTCCTTCTGGCTCTCCCCGCCCACTCCGGCTTCTGTCATATAAAAGGCGGCCGATTGACGTCAGCGTCCTCTTCCGCCCGCTCGGCCCCTGCCAACGAGACAGGGCAGCTCGAGCCGCCGCCATTGTTGCCGGTCTTTTTTTTTTCTCCCCTTCTTTCCCCCCCGCCGCTCCTGCGGAGAATCCGAAGCCATCCGCCAACATGGTGAGCCATCCGAAACCGGGAACGACTTGAGCGGAACCTCGGGGACCCGAGGCCTAGGGGAGGCGTTGGATAGGGCCGGGTTCGGAACGAAGGGGATAGGCCCCGGGTCGGAGGCCTGCCGGGCCGCGGCGGGGGGGGGGGAGGGAGAAGGCCGCGGCCATGGAATAGCCCGCCTTCTGGAAGAGCCCCGGAAAGGGGTCGGGGGGGGGGGGGGTTGAGTAGCGCAAGCCAACACGCGAGAAGGAAGAGGGGGGATAGTTTGCGAACGTGGCGACTTGCGAGAGATACGTGGACCCGTGTTAGGCTGTAGATCCCATGCAGAGCCGTCTGGATGGTTCCTTCCCCACCTTAAGTGCTTCTCCCCTGGGCCAGGCTGAGGATGTTGGGAGTTGTAGTCCAACGACTGTGGAATGTGTATATGTATATATATGTATATATGTATGTATATATATATGTATGTATGTATATGTATGGCATTTAGCTTTGTTCGTGTATTTTTCCACGTCATTGTAGTTGTGCTTTTAAATGTATATGTATGTTTTTGTATGTATATGTATATATGTAGATGTATGTATGTAGATGTATGTATGTATGTAAATGTATGTATGTAGATGTATGTATGTATGTAGATGTATTAAATTGCCTACTGTGGATGCTGTTTAAAGCACCTTGAGAGCCAGTGGATTATAAAAAAATAAAACGCCCTTTTCTCCATGCTGAGGATGATGGGAGATGTAGTCCAGCGCCTCTGGAGAGCTGCCAATCAAAAATTGCCTACTGTGAATGCTGTTAAAGCGCCTTGAGACCCAATATATTAATAAAAATGCCTTTTCATATTTATATATAGAGAGGGGGGGTAGATAGATATGGATATATATATATATATATATATATATATATATGTATGTATGTATGTATGTATGTATGTATGTATGTATGTATGTATGTCTAGGTGTGTTTGGGTCTTTTCCCGTGTAAGATTAAGAGTATCTTGGCAATATTTCGAATATATATATATATAGTCATAGATGATAGATGCAGAGATAGAGATAGATGGGGAAGAGAGATTCTGGTATACATATATAAAATCAGAATTTTTATATGTACGTATATAAGGCAGAAATTTAACAAGTGAAGCTCCCCTTCTGTCACTTTCCCAGCCAGAAGCAGAAAATATCAAATATATTTAAAATATCAAATATATTTAAAGCAGAAATATCTTTATTGACTAATAGATGGTCCCTTTTTAAATTTTCCTTTATTTTCAAAGAAAGCTGAACGGATAGACGGCCCCATATTTTGATTATCCCTTTTTTTTAGACTTAATGCTTATTCCTCTCCCTGGCTACAGAGACAGTCCTTGACTTAACCCCGGTGGAGCCCCAAATTTAGGTCGCTGAGTGAAACCTTGTTGAAGTGGGTTTGACTCCCCTTGCCTCAGTCGTTAAAGAGAACCTTGTGTTTGTTCAGCGAATCCGCATTTCCCACATGGTATTTGCTTGGCAGAAGGTCGCCAAAAGGGGGAATCGCATTACCGTCATAAATACGAGTCAAAAGCCTCTGGATTTTGATCCCATGACTGTGGGGATATGCGAAAAAACCGTCCTAAGTGAGAAAAACGGTCCTACGTCCCTTTTTCCAGGGTTGTCTTTTCGAACGGCCACTAAACGAACTGTTGTAAGTCAAGGGCTACGAATAATTTCTTGGAACAATTTTCTCTTCAAGACTTCACCTTGGCCGGCTTCTGTTCTTTTATTTATTTCTGCGTAGGGATAAAAAAAAAAAGGAAAATAATTTAAAAAACAAAACCCTGACCTCATTGTGCGATGACTCAGTTGGATTTTTTTTCTTTTTGGTCCCCTGCCCCCTCCTGCCACCGATTCGAGTCAGGAGAAAAAAAAAAAAAGGAGGTGATGTAACTCTCCTTACCAGCTTCCTGAAGATAATTTGGAGCAGGGTAGGGTTTTGTCTGCTGATAAACCACTTTTTTTTTTTTTGATAATTCTTTGAGGAGCGCTGGCTGGCTTGCCAATGCACCATTCAGTTCCTGTGATTTAATATATATGTGTGCGTGTGTATGTGTATGTATGTATGTATATGTATGTATATATATGTATATAAAGCTTTAATATATTCATTTAAAATTTAATTAATATATTTAGCCTTCTTTGCCAGCCTCCCTCTTTTTTGGGGGAAGGGTTTTTTTTTTTTTTAAATACTTGCTAGCTTAACCTACGTGCCAAAAGGGCTGAAATAACCATTCAAGATGTCCGCGGACGGAGCGGGACGTGATGTGGCAAAACAACAACACAGCCGGTGGCCAGCGAGGATTTTGGACGAGCTCCAGCCGGTTCCTCTTTGCCAAAGTGGAGGGGTGGACTTCAGGGAAGGAGGTTGTGTCCTTCCCCCCCCCCCCAACACACACACATCTTGTCTAAACCTGACCAGAAGTGCCTGAGGGGGGGGTGGGGAAATGTGGTAGGGAGACATAGTGGAGGGTGTCACACCTGTATTCCTGGGCTGGTTACTTTCACTGCTGCTGCTGCTATTGGGTGACCTTAAAAGTGCTGACTGTTCACTCACCTGGAAAGTATTTTCCGGCTTGGCTCCATCTACTTAATGGAATCCGACTGGCTGTTGTGGTTTATCTCACCTCTGTCTCCTTCCACTCTTCCCTTTCCTTCCTTCCTGTCTTTCTCTCCCTCCTTTCCTTTCCTGCTCATCCTACTATCACTTCCTTCTCATCCATCTACCCTTCTTTCTTTCCTTCCTTCTCATCTACCCTTTCCTTCCTTCCTTTCTTCTCATTCATCTTTCTTTCTTCCTTCCTTCCTTCCTTTCCTTTCCTTTCCTTTCCTTTCCTTTCCTTTCCTTTCCTTTCCTTTCCTTTCCTTTCCTTTCTTCTCATCCATCTACCCTTTCCTTCTTTCCTTCCTTCTCATCCATCTACCCTTTCCTTCCTTTTTTCTTTCTTTCCTTTTCTTCTCATCCATCTACCATTTCCTTCTCCATCTATCTTTTCCTTCTTATCCATCTATCCTTTCCTCCCTCCCTCCCTTTCTTCTCATCCATCTACCCTTCCCTTCCTTCTTTCTTTCCTTCCTTCCTTCTCATCCATCTACCCTTTCCTTCTTTCCTTCCTTTCTTCTCATCCATCTACCTTTCCTTCCTTCCTTCCTTCCTTCCTTCCTTCCTTC